ATAATTGATATTTATATTATTATTGTAATTATTATAATTACTGTTATTATTGTACTTATATTCCTGTTTTAAGTATACGCCACGACAGTGCCTACGTCCTGATTGCACTCTTATTTTAATTGTTCACCTAATGTGTGAATAAAATAATGATCAAATACTCACTGTAGTTATGCTCATTTTCCATTGCCGCAGGTTGATGCAATAAAGAAAGCGAACAAAGTGTACAATGACTCAGCACTAATGGCACAGACATCAATCAAAATTCCTGTACAGAAATACGGTGTTTTCAGCGAACAAGGTGTGTGACCTTTTTGATCCATGAATTACGATACGTACATCAAGCATCGCTTGACATGAACGGGATATTCACATCTTATAGTAGCATAGCTGGAGAAGACTTGTTGCTATGTGTGTGCTCGGAGTACTCTCGTTGGAAGTGCCCTCTCCTTTGTATTCTATCTGTTAGTGTGGCAGGTTGTGAAAGATTCTTGCTAGTCCCCTTACTTCATCTCGTTTACGCATTTTTGCACATAGAAATGGTACAGGTCCCTCGTGCACACTACGAAAGAGGATTAACTTCACTCGTGTGGGTTTTGTGCATCGAATCGGTTTAGTTCACTAACGGAGCACGCGTATTGATGACATTGAAACGTATACCTTCAGTATATCTTGCTGTGATTGATTCATAAAGGTAAGGATCCCGTATCCGTTTGATACACATCATTACCTCCATGAATGTGGTAAGTTTAGGTATTGTTTGGAGATCATGGCTCAGTCTCAGAAGGGATTGCTTTTGTTATCTCTGTATTCCTCATTGACCCATTCCGGCTATCTTCAATCGCAGCGGAGGAGAGTAATCGGCGGCGGGAAGAACTGTCGGCGAGTATATACATAAAAGGTATGCGTGCGTGCCCAAAGTCAAAAATGAACGTTTGCGTGAAAATGTCAAGAAAGACTCACGGGGCAATAGTAGCGAACGGTGGTTCCTATATCTGTGTGCCCGCTTCTCGTTCAAAATACTGATAATCCTTTCCTGATGTCCTTTGTTTGTAAAGGTGACTATATGTTGGCGTGAAATTGATTTGCTCCAAACACACAAAGGTAGGTACTCATTGCCATTGAATATATTCCTGCATTTCTATCTAGCAACGTTTCGCCAATCAATTATGGTTTCGTTTAGTCAAGTGCCAATCCAGAATGAGCTTTTGGTTACAATCTGATCTGAGGGTTTCCTTTGGGCTTGAGCTTTGGCTGTCAAACACATATCAGTGCATTGTGTATGGATTTTAAAAAGGTGGCTATCATGAAATATTTAACGTACTCGCCAACTTTCGGATGATAACAGGAGATGAGGAGAGTCAAGAAGACGACGTTCCTCATGACGAAATGGCGCATTCCTTACTGTCTAAGGTGGAGGAAAGTGTGAGCGTCATGAAGGAACAGGTACGATTCAAACGCGAATTACTAGTCGCTTTTTGCGTTTGCGTTAGATCTGTCAAAATCCCGTTTGCCTTAGAGCTGTCAGAGAATCGCGTTTGCCTTCTGTGTAAATTTTTTTTTGCTTTGACCGCCTCAAATTAAATTACTGTCTTGACCTTATGTAGTCTGTAGTGCAAGCTTCCCTTTTCACCGTCTAATTTCTTTATCATGCCACGATACTTGGTTTTCTTTATAGTTTTGCGAAAATTGCTCTCCACATCTCAAACACCATGACAACAAAAAAAATTCAATCTTATCGTTCTATTTGATATTCATAAAGGTCACACGTACAGAGGAGAGGATGTTGAGCTCTGGGGCCATTAGTCGAGAAACTAGCAGTACTCGAATCCCGGTAGGTTGTCCACTGACATCTCGATATTTTGAGCTTATCGGCTTCAAGTTTCTCGCGTTGCTTATTAGATATGGAAAGTGGTTATCATTATTCATTACGCACTATTGTAAGTGCAGGCGCTCATTAGTCAACATCTTTGATCGGCTGGCTTCTGCAGGACATACAATTTTTTTTCTCAAAGATTGGTGCTGTGCTCCGTTTCACGATGGAGACTCAAACCAACTCTGGAGACTCAAGAGTTTTATCGTGTTGTGACTTTGTGACTCTTTCCCATGTTGAATTACACGCCATATTTACCCTCGTATACTTAACTGCAATTTTTTCTCATTCGCCTATTAATCGCAGAGGCCGGATAACACCAAGTGCCTGACGCATATGGACAAACGTCTGTTGGTCTTGATCATCGTCATGCTGATTTTGAGCCCTTTTCTAGCCTTCACCTTTTCCTATGGTGAAACGGGGATCTGGGACTTCGGCAAGCCTCATGTAGAACGTGCACATAAGCAGCTGAACAAAACGAACAAGGGCTTTAAGAATGAGAATGCAACTCACAAAGTACACAGGGTTGTCGATGTTCACTGATGTTTTGAAAATAAAACGCATCGGAAGCAAGAATCAGTGCCTTCATATATAGTGAGATGAGTTGTGATTATTTCAAGAGTCCATTACCTCGGTAGCATAGTTCTCTTGTAGTATTTACAAGGCCTTGTCAATAGATTGATATTTATAAGACCACAGCATTCGAACTCCCACTTTTCTTTTCGTGTACACCGACGCTTTTTTTAAATAAAGGAGAATTTTGCGAGGGAATCAAGTAGTGATTTGCTTTATCATACTGCTTGAAATAAGAAACCATTGGCATATCGTTTTCAGTACACTGCGATACATTGTATACTTTGAAGTTTCATACAAACTACGCGCTTTGTCTATCAATCATTTATTTTAATCATTCATCCTATAAGTTTTTTCTTGTGTCTTCCTATATATTAGGAAAGTGTAATAAACAATTTCACAGCCAGCTAAACAAACATTATTCAAACGAAGGCTGTGGTAGTTATTAAATTTGTAATGGGACAAGGGGCTGAAACATTCAGAAACCTCTTTAAACCGTCTAGGATCAGCAGTCAATCCATTCTCCATTACGTTCATATTTGCGTGCAAGGCCCATTTTCGCGGCATCACTACAATCACCCTCCGTACTCCATTCCACAGCGAACACAGCCTTATTCTGCTCCACAAACGGTTCATACAATGCGCATTCATCGTATTTAGCATATTTTTGACACGATTCATTGATTGCAAAGTCAACATGATCGACCAACTCCGGGATCAAATCAAGGGTATTTTTCAGTCCAATTATCATGCCCAGATTATGCGTTTCTTCGGCCAGCCATTTGACGTATTCCACCATATACGTGGTCATTTCTTTCTTAGTTTTCCCAGGTACTGAATCGTGGCTGTGGCTATCAGTATTGTCCGGTTCTATTCCCATACAACCTTTCTCTTGTGCACTTTCCAAACGATTCTTCATCAAATGCCGCCATGACTTCCACTTAGTGATATCCAACCAACACTCACGGCTGTAGCCAGAGTCACTTGAGCAATACTCTTCTAGCGCTAGATAATCTGGGCGCCACTCCTCAGCAGTCCCTGCAGAAATATAGCAAACCACAGTCTGGCCACCTTTCACCAATGACTCTATATACGATTTAGACTTGGTCATGAAATCCACATCGATCATATCAGTTTTACCATTCGTGTAAGAGTCCGGAGGGCCCCAGGCCTCCAGTGTCCAAGTTGAACCCTGAGTGAGCTGTGCACTTCGCCTTGTTGTGGCACCATCAGTTACACCGTACGCTATTGAAGCTACAAGCAATGTTTGTGAAAAGGAAATGATCTTCATGGTGCTTAGTTGAAGTAGCTGTGTCCGTTCTATTGTATAGTATGGCCCTTTTTTATACCTATATTATAAAGATGTTGTCTAGTTGCTGAATTTGAAATTCCCGCAATTGTCGTTCATGAGCGCCCCGATGCGGATTGCGGAAGGGCATATTTGCCAAAGGTCCGAGAGTCCGAGAGTCCAAGTGGTGAACACTTTGGAGTTTCAACTTTCAACTTTCAAGTTGGGTAGAGCTTTTAATATATAATTTTTTAATAAAAAAGCGTTTTTTTTTTGGATACACGCTGAAATAACACCTTACAGCTTCACAAATACTCTTACTTTTAATACTGTCCCATAGGGAGAGAGAGAATGTAGGAAATAGTAAAATAGCAGGGGCTCCAGTCAGGAGCACATCACTCATCAGGCCTGAGGGCCCTGCTCTGTGACTGGACTTCCTCATTGTTATTTACAAATAAACAATATTCAACAAAGAGTCAGACAAAGGCGCAAAGGCTCAAACTAAGCTAAAAAAAAGAGTAAAAAAACGACGTGAACCGTGAATAGTGATTGCCTTTGAGCTTTTCAGTCGCATGGTGCATAACCTTCTTGTCAAAAAAAAACACGAATATAACAATATTTGCCATTTGCACACAGGGGGATGCCGATAAAATTTTAAACCTGTCCAAATTCAGCTCCTTTGGAAAGTGAGTGTCAGACTGTCAGTCTGACAGATTTTTAGCCTATGACATGCCACCAAATTCACGTGGTTGCCAAATTTATCAATCAACTACCAATACAATAGGCCATCCCGCGAATGCCGATCCTGATGACCTGATGATGTCTGTATGTAGATTGTAGAGTGACAAAAAAAAGCCTTCAATGTTTTTCTTTAACAAAACAATAAATATTAATTCCTTTTTTTCTATATTGTTTTTAAAAAATGAACATACCTCTTCTCGGAAAAGTAAATATTTAGATCATCAATGACTCGTTCTCTCTCTCTATAGTGAGTAAAGTATTTTGTGAGAGAGAGACTACTGTATTAGTACTGCTATTTACTACTACAATATTTAGAGAGAGTATGATAGTCGAAAAATATTTACTGGCTATGGACTATAGAGTATAGAGTATACTGATAGACTATAGAGTATACTGTAATCGGTAATTCATTATAGACGTGATTAGGGTTTATACTGAACTTCTGAAGTTCTGAAGCCAAAGCTTCACATAGTCACATTGACAGTTTGATAATTGACACATTCTGGGTACATGTTCTCGGTTCCGCGACATATTTACATTCGTTTTCTTTTTTAAATTAAAAACAAATATTTATTTTTTAAATAAAATATTTTGATCTGCTTTTGTTTGCAAAAAAAAAATACAAACAAAAATAAAAAGCCGACTCAAATCTCAATGCCTGTGAAGTTGAAGCAGTGGTGTTCTGTCAACTCATAACTGTCAAGTAAATAGTGTCAGTCTGTCAGCCGTTTATATGCCGTTCATATCTTCAGGCAAAGCTCATTACGTTATATGTATGCTGAATAAAAATTGAACTTTAACACCTATTGTCATGTTCTATATACTTTAAAACGGTTATGTAGCTCAAATATGCCCAACGAAATTTCAAAAAATACACTTCGAACGTGCACCTAAAATCCACGAAGTGGGCTATGTTGAAAGGGTCGACCAATCATGAGTTCGCTATGATTTTGATGACACATATCCCAATTTCCAACCGACGGCCCTTTTTGACTTTTGACTACAGCACAACTATGCGCCGGCGGATTTATCAACAAACTGATTCCGCAAATATCAAGTGGATTGTGATTTTGATTGAATACGGTGCAATTCTCATATAGGGGCGAGAAGTCGAGAACTGAGAAATGAGTTGTGGATATTGCCGGAATGTGAAAACAAACTGAAAATATTATACGGTTGGCATAGCCAATAGAAAATGGGAACTCGGAGCTCGGTCATATTTGGCGTGCTCAACAGCCTCAACTGGCGACAAATCTTCGGACCTAGAAATTACACCCCATCTGAAATCCATAGGACCGTAATAAAAATTGAACTTTAACGCTTATATCGGCATGTAATAAACGTTTTCACGGCTAGCGCATTGAGTTTTGTCTTCAGGCTTCAGGCTGACGCTCCGACGGCCCCTTATCGCGCGACGCGCGTGAGGCACCGATAGTTTGATACTATGTACAAGGCCGCAGGAGTCACGAGTCAGGAGTCAGGAGACAGGACTCAGGACTTAGGAGTGCTGGACTACACAGTGAAGGTCTGCAGGATTATAAGTGAAGGTCTGTACTCTACACTCTGCAGTCTGCGTCCAGGGGTCCAGCCGCACTCCGTCTCAGTAGTAGAGGCCTAGGACTCGCATAAGTTTAGGACCAGGTCACCAGGAGGTATAATATTTACATAGACAAATATTGGAGAGCAAATAACACCCGCTGGTTGCAAGGTTATCCGTAATACTCGCTTACTCACTAACTCTAATTTCTGAGTTCTGAGTTCTGACGTCTGAGCTCAAGGCTCACAAGTCACAAGTCAATCACAAGTCACAACTCACGTCGTTTCCCGTTAATAGTTTTTTTTTCAGATCTGTAAGCTGCATTTACCAGCCCTTTGAAAATTTATAGTGCATATATCAGGGTATGTACCAAGATTGTCCTATATTTCAAAGTCGAGTGCAAAACCCAGCCTCCCTATAGTCTATACATAGTGCAATTCAAAGCTGAATACTTTAGATGGCTATGTCCATTTCGGTGTAAATAGGTGCAAATTGAGAATTTTGTTGGCTGTACAGTAATAATAGATCTATGAAAACGTTAAAAAAACCATTATATAAATTATGACCCTTTCTCTCTCTTCAGTAGAAAACTGTAATAGACCCATGTAAACGTTAAAAGAAGAGAATAAAAGTAAATTGCCTGATGAATCTCACCTCACTCCCAAGCGATCAGATAGCTGCCATCCGACCGCAGAATGCAGATGTCAGTTGTCACTGGCTTACGGAGCGATACAAAGTGACGGTCACAAGGTAAACTCATTCAAGGGACGCATATGGAATAAAAGTTGAACGTAAACGCATATTTATTCGATTTATAAAAGTTTTAACGGACAACGGTTTGAAGTCAGGTCACACCTCACAAGTCACAAGTTACAACTCATAGGTTCATAACACTCCTAAAGTCCTAAACGCATAAATAGCGAATTTGCGACTCGCGTACGTCTCCTTCTCGCGGAGTCAGTACGAGACGGAGTCGCGAGACTGCGAGTTCTCTGTTGTTTGTTAAGAAAAAAAAAAGGAAAATCAAACTGTAGAAAATTTCAAAAGTATGAATGCATACTTCGTCTCATACTGACTCGGCCTTGCGGCCGTGCGGGGCTTTGGGCTGTTTTAGAGCGGGTCCTCGCTCCTCGCTAGTTGTCAACCTTTTAGTTGTCCATTTCAATATCTTTTTTCAGTACAATTAGCGGCTCAAACATTAGCTCTACCGCTGACAGTATATCCCTATTAGAGAGTGTGGACTGAGTCAGAGTGAGTATGGCTGGCAGCACAGGCGCCTGGCGGCCGCGGGTCACTCACACAGTATTTATTTTGAAAGACACTATGAGTCTGTGAGTCTGTAACACTGTCACACAGCATTTATTATGAAAAACACTATGAGTATGTGAGTCTGTGACACTGTGTGCTGAAGACTCTCGAGTAAAAAACGAGTACTCGGAAAGCGAAATATAATGCTTGACTACTGTTCTTGAAATTTATATGATAAAGAACGAATAAATAAATACCCCCCTTTTAAATAGCTCAAATATATTTAGCATTTGCCCATTTTATTTGTTCTTATCCCGGAGTATCGGACAGAAAATTATGTTGCCAATTTTACTGGGGTTGTGTCCACTGTCCAATTGTTCATACACTGTCTATATCTTTTTTAAAATATACTCAAAATTTCAGCCTTTCTCAGTTTCTCTATAAGGAGAAAAGAATGCTGCACTCTGGCGAGGGAGTTGCCCCGTGATTTTCTGGATATAAAAGGTATTAAAAAAATGAATTCCTGGGCTTCTGAATCCAAAATTACAAATGACTGCTCAGTGCCAATTTCCTCTTCGGCTTTTAAGAGTACCATTAGAATGTTAGAAACATAGATTCTATAACAAAAATAAAAATATGTATAAAAAATCGGAAACCTTCAGTGACCGTGGTCTGTAAGTCTTTATTTTTTCTTGATTCTTAATTGTTTTTAATTGTTTTTTAATAGCACAACAAAAAAACATTTTTATTTTACCATTTTCTGAAAAAAGTACATTGCAAAATTGTATAGACGGTCTAATAAACTCATTAAGTTATGGCCTTATGGGGGAACTGAATAAATAGTTGAACGTAAACGCATATTCATTCAATTTTAAAACAATAGAGCCTACCCAAGTTCATTTTATCGGACTGGTTCGTATAGTGAAAACAATGCTATGACCATACAAACACATGTGGAATAAAAGTTGAACGTAAATGTATATGTATTCGATATATAAAAGTTTTGACGGAAAACGGTTTGAGAAAAGGGTTACATTACACCGTATCTACTTGAGTACATTGAGTAGTCCGAGTATTTATACAAAATATTTTGGTTGATACACGCGTGGGTGGCGAGTATTTACACCTGATATGGTAAACGACACGTGTCACAATGAATGCGACTTGTCGTTTTATAAAACGACACTGACATTAATGCGACGTGTCGTTGTCGCATTGGTCGCAATGGCCGTATATGATCATTGTGACAGGCCGTATTTTCGTTTTCTTGTGACCAATCATATGTTCCTAATCTTAACATTTAACATCTATTCAATGATATTTCCGTATATTAAAGACAGCTAATCATATCACATTTGCGTTTTCGACCGCCTTTATTTGTTGGGCGGGCTAGAATGTCGAATTTCAGTTGCTACTTGGCCTTGCTGACATCCTGACAATAAATATTTAGAAACTACTAACTACTAACTTAGTATTT